GGAAAAGTTTTCCGTTAAAAGCATTTTCGGAACAGAGCGTCTAGATTGGCACTGACGCTTTTCCGCAAAAGTACTTTTTGTGGAAAATCGTCCGTGCCAATCTAGACGCGCTTTTCCGCAAAAAAGCCCTGATCGCCATTTTCGCAATCGGGGCTTTTTTGCAGAAAAGAAATCGGGGCTGTCTACACTGGCCCTTTTCCGGAACAGTTTTCTGGAAAAGGACTTTTGCCCAAACGGGAGCAGCATAGTTTTTCCAGAAAAACACTGACGATTTTACACTAGATCATCAGTGCTTTGCCAGAAATTCAAGGGGCCAGTGTAGACAGCTGGCAAGTTATTCCGGAAAAGTGGCTGATTTTCCGGAATAAGTGGCCAGTGTAGACACAGCCTCTCTGTAAGTAGTCCACATGCCGCTTCATGGGACAGTGCCCCACACCCAGTAGGTGTGTGGTTCACTAACACTTACAGTGCCTGCCCTATGGGGGAGGCAGGTGCTACTCCCTTGCCCCCACCCTGAGGCACTCTGGGAATGCTGCCCTTCTATGGAGCTGTCAGCTGACTGGAGCTGGAATTTGTCTGGAGGGAAGCTCTGCTAAGGAGCCTTATCAGCCCCAGCAGAGTACCTGGGAGCCTGCCTCTCCGGGCGGGCCTGATACAGCCTCCCCTCAGATAAGGCTCTTCTCCTGGAAGAGAACCTAGGGCAGCCAAGGCAGCAGCCAAGGAATGTTGCTCAGCCACGGCCCCTGCCACTGTGACACGAGCAGGTCAAATGAGAATCGTGATTGGCCCCTTCCAGGCGTGGGTATGGTGTGGCGGTGCTAGTACCCCTGGTACTAGCTCTCAGAGGCATTTTCCATCTGGAACACACACCTCTGCAAGACCGTGTGCACTGCCCCACGCAGCTTCCTCAGCCCCACGTTGCTCTCAGGGAGCCGCACACCCATGTGGGTTACCCGTGTCACAGCAAGCAGAAAATTCTCTGCGACCCGGAGAAACTCCCCGCAGATTAATCCCCTTCCTTGTCCAGATATTCCAGAGCCACGTCCCCAGGACAGCCTATTTCCCCTGTCACTGTACGTGGTCTCACAAAGTGTGGGGGAGTCACCGGGCCCTGCACTCCCATCCGTTGTCAGACGTGTCTCTCTAAACTAGTAGAACAGAAGGTTTATCGGTTCACAGGGACCCAGCGGAGCACAGACGTGTTGTTACAGGAGCCAGAAGCATTCAGTACAATCCATCTTGGGGAGAGGGAGCCTCAGAGCCAGGCTCCTCAAGCCAGCTAGACTCCCCTTTCCCTCAGCCAGCCTCAAAAACTAAACTCACACAACTCGCAACTGGTCCCAACCCTCTAGGCAACCCCACCCCCTCCTTAGTTCAGAGAGTTACTACAGAACAACGCAGGACAGTCGAATCACATACAAATCAACAAGGCAAACCCACAGAGTGAATACAGTGACCGGGACGGCCCATGGACGTAGGCAACCTCGGTAGTTGCCTAGGGCGCCGCATTTAACGCGGCGCGCAAAGATGACGTCACGCCATTGAGGGCTATGGAGGCGGGGCCAGTTGCCGGCAGCTCGCCTCGGGCCGCTCCTGACAGTGACGACAAGAGTGACTAGCATCCCCATTGTGTCACACCTGATCCCCATCATCTCTACTCAATACACTTCGGCTGTGTCTAGACTGGCCATTTTTTCCAGAAAATCAGCAGCTTTTCCGGAAAAACTTGCCAGCTGTCTACACTGGCCCCTTGAATTTCTGGCAAAGCACTGATGATCTAGTGTAAAATCGTCAGTGTTTTTCTGGAAAAACTATGCTGCGGAAATACTATGCTGCTCCCGTTCGGGCAAAAGTCTTTTTCCGAAAGACTTTTGCGCAAAAGGGCCAGTGTAGACAGCCAAGATTTCTTTTCCGCAAAAAGCCCCGATCGCGAAAATGGCAATCAGGGCTTTTTTGTGGAAAAGCGCGTCTCGATTGGCCATGGATGCTTTTCCACAAAAATTGCTTTTGAGGAAAAGCGTCCATGACAATCTAGACGCTCTTGTCCGAAAATGTTTTTAATGGAAAACTTTTCCGTTAAAAGCATTTCTGGAAAATCATGCCAGTCTACACGTAGCCTTCCACTGCCAGCAGCTACCAGATCAGTCATCTGTTGGTTAATCCCCAAAGCGCAAGGGTTTTGGTTGTTGGAAGGGGGCACTAGGAAACAGGAATGATCATTTTAAATCCTGCTCATTCTGTTCTTGAGTAAATCTTTGGCTGCTTGACGAGCGCAGCCGCAACTGTAGTCGGCACAGAGCCCGCGACAGTGTGAAGCTGCTGGAGGGAGAGAGGCAGCAGGACAGCTCCTGAGCCCACCTGATGTCCCTCTGGATGAAGCACAGAATGGATTTCCCCCCCCGGACAGCTGCATGCTTGCGGACCTCTTTGAGGCACAGAAAAGGTGTAGCACTGCCTGCTGTGGTTGCCCTGTTCTTTTTGGGGATGCCAGAGCTTTTTCCTGTG